CAAAAATGGAGCAGAAAAGAACAAATGGAAACTCTGAGTGCATGTCTTACATGGTAAGACTGCATAGGAAACTTCTGTTCCTGTTTCATATATGTGCATGTGTTATACGTACAGGTACTGTTCCATGATGTAAACTGTTCTCCTTACTGTGGGTCATGCCAAAAAGCTTGAAAGCTGCTGGCCTAGCTGATTTAGTTATATGATAATACAAGTGCTTACTGCTTCCTTATAAATTTCGGGGGTCCCCTGCAAAGTTCCTATACACTTAAACCAGGAGCAGCGTGGAATAAGGAATGATTCTTCCAAGTAACCGTGTAATTTGCTCAATACAGACAGATGTCTGGGCCATGTCTCACAAGCATTCTGAATATAGTTTCATGTCAGTACCCCCCAAATTGATAAATGTACTAAGTATAACTAAAAGACTATAAGTGGAATACAAAATGATTTAGTCACTGTGGAAAAGTTTGGCGGTTCTGCAAAAAGTTAAATGTAGAATTACCACATGACCCCACAGTTCCATTCCTAGGTGACTCAAACAAGTACATGTACACACATGTTCACAGCAGCTCTGTTCACAAGAGCCAAAAGGTGGAAATAGCTTAAATGTCCATCAGTGAATGAGTGGATAAACCAACTGTGGTATATACATACAATGGAATACCATTCTGTCATAAAAATGAATCAAGTACCGATACATGCTACAATATGGATGGACCTCCAAGACTTTATGCTAAGGGAAAGAAGCCAGACACAGAAGATCACATATTGTATAATCTCATTTATACGAAATATGCAGAAGAGGTAATTCTCTAGAGACGAACACAGATTGGTGGTTGCCAGGGGCTGGGAACTGTAGCATGAGTGTAAGAGGCCTAATGGATAAGGGATTTTACTTTAGAGTTATGGAAATGTTTTGGAACGATGCTGGTTGCACAAAATCGTGAATGTAATTAATGCCACTGAACTGTTCACCTAAAATGGTTAATTTTATGTTATGTGAAATTCACTTAACTAAACTATTAAGAATTAAGAGCCTATAGGCAGATGTAAATACTAGTAATATCCAGAATCTGGAGGGCAAATATTACTCAGGATATAGAAACTGAAGAAAAACGGTATTTTTATTTTTTCTCAAAAAATTTTTAACAAGAGGTTCATGTATAGAGTAAATAGTTCTTATTAACTAAACTAGAGGCTAAAGGGAAAAATGAACTGTACACAATTCTGATCAACATCTCTGAGAGAAAACTGACATGTACTTGTTAAGAGACTTCTTAAAAATCAAAATTCAGCATGAGGAGACATTATTCTTAAATATAAAGGAGGAAATAAGGAAGGAAGTGAGAACTTTTAGACAGAACTTTGGACTTGAAGTAAGGAGAAAGTAAACCAGTCTTCTGGTTTTCAGTTTAATTTACTTATCTTCTCTTCAAGCAAAAAAATGGGGGGAACTGGGGTGGGGGACATGGGAAGGTGATGTGAAGCAACTACTTTCCTCTTCCCTTGGAGAAAATTATTATTTTTTTATTATTACAGTATGTATCTGTTTTGGAGAGAGTTCACTAGAGGTATCCTGCACAGGCAGGGTAACTTCTTTGGGGGTCTGCTATGGAGAAGGATGGCTGTAGAGATCAGATCAAGGTTTTTCAAACTCTGGTCAGCTGAACCCTAAAGGTCCTCTAGGCTGCTAGAGGGAGGGAGGGGTGGGAGAGGAAAAGGGAAGTGGAGCTGTCAATGCCCCAAGCCTCTATGACCACTTCACTTCACTCAGAGTAGGTTTGTTTTTACCTTTTAAATATTGGGATTCTATGTTAAGCCTTCACTTGGAAAAAAAATTCTACTCAAGTTTGAAACCATTGGACTGCATCAAGGATTCCTAAACCTGGTAGCTCAACAGAATTACTAAAAGAACTTTTTCAAATTACAAATTCCTGGGCCATACCTCAAGGGATTCTTGTGCAGCAGCCCTAAGCTAGCCCACAGTGTTTGAGAGGCACTGAACCAGATGACCCTTGCTTCCCTGAGAGCCTATGACAAAACAGAACTTAAATGGGCAGGCAGGAATCTTGGGCAAAAAAGCTAGTGATAGCAAATGGAAAAAGAAATGTAGACAACTAAATCACTAGAGTCTACTGACAAAAAACAAAACAAAAAACATGGCAAATGAGGAGCTTGCCTAGGACCAGAAGTTCCTCTGGAGGTTTAACTGTTTGACAATTATCTCACAGCCTATTATAACTGTCCAAATTGGTGATGATAGTCAAAATGGTTTAACTTAGTAACTGTCCAAGAAAGTATAATGTCGGCCACACATGTAATTTAAAATTTTCTCATAGCCATGATAAAAAAGTGAAAAGGAAATTAATTTTAATAAAATACTGTAATTCAACATATCCAAAATAATATCATTTTAACATTTACTGAATAATTAAGTACAAAAATTATTAATGATATACTTTACCTTTTACTTGTATTAAATCTTCAAAATGTTATAGCACATCTGAATTCAGACTAACCAGGTTTCAAGTGCTCAAAAACCATATGTGGGTAGGGGCCACCATATTGTATAGTGCAGGACTAATTAATAAAGTCAATCTATTTACTTTTAAAATTGATATTCTGTTGCAATATAAACATAGAAAGACCATGAATTACTTTCCCAGCCCTAGAGGTCCTGCTCCCAAGGCTAGTCAGATAACAATCTTGTCTGCAGATATTATACCCAACCTCACATCTTCAGCCCTGACTGCTCTCTCTTCCTAGCAGTGGAGTCTATGTTCTGGACATTTTTCTCAGGATGTCCCTCTCTGAAAACCTATTCAAAATATCTAAAATTAAATGCACCATCTTTATTCCAAAATAAAAAATCAATTTACCTCTTATTTTGTCTAATACCTATATCTGTTATGAGCACTCATATACAAGTCTTTATGTGGACATATATTTTCATTTATTCTGGTAAATACCTAGGAGTGGGTGGAATTGCTGTGTCATATGATAAGTGTATATTTAACTTTATAAGAAACCACCTGTTTGACATAGAGAACAAACCAGTGGTTACCAGGGGGAGAGAGAAGAGGGAGGGGCAATATAGGGGTAGGGAATTAAGAGTTACAAACTATTATGTATAAAATAAGCTACAAGGATGAGAATATAGCCAATATTTTGTAACTATAAATGGAGTATAACCTTTAAAAATTGTGAATCACTATACTTTATACCTGTAACTTATATAATATTGTACATCAACTATACTTCAATTTAAAAAAAGAAGATAAAAACAAAACAAACAAACAAAAAAAAAGGGCTTCCCTGGTGGCGCAGTGGTTGAGAGTCCGCCTGCCAATGCAGGGGACATGGGTTCGTGCCCCGGTCTGGGAAGATCCCACATGCCGCGGAGCGGCTGGGCCCGTGAGCCATGGCTGCTGGGCCTGCACGTCCGGAGCCTGTGCTCCGCAACGGGAAAGGCCACAACAGTGAGAGGCCCGCATAATGCAAAAAAAAACAAAAAACAAAAAACAAACAAACAAAACAAGAAGATAAACCACCTGTTTTTCTTCTATTATATTTTAAAAAAATCAATTTACCTCTTGATTTTCCTATTTCTATTAGTCATCTAGGATCAAACCTTCCAAGTCAAATGTTTCCTTTTCCTTTATTCTACAAAAGCACCAAGTTCTATTTTTTCTTCCCTTACAATCTCTCTCTCATTTTCCCTTTTCTGCTTCTAGTTCTACCTGCTGATCTATCCTTATACTGTTATACAAATACTTATACTTAATATACCATGTATAATGAATGCCATTTCTCTTTAGTGGCTCTGTAATACCTTTCACTTCAGGTGTGAATTTAAGACCACACACAATCTTGCTCCTACCCCACACCTGGTCTATTACCATTCCAACCTTATCATTTACCAATCTCCTAGAAGAGCCTTTATTTTCGGCAAACTATCCTGTTCTCCTGAATATGCCTTATACTTCCTCATCTAGGTGGATATGACTGTCTACCCACCTAGAATGCCCTTACTCCAGCTTTACCTATCTATTATTCCACAAATATTTATGTGTCAGGCACCACACTGGGTACTGGAGAAAGAATAAATATCTCAGTTTCTCCACTTAAACCTTCCTTTATATGGCTCTCGGGCCCAGCCGCTCCGCGGCATGTGGGATTCTCCCAGACCGGGGCACGAACCCGTGTCCCCTGCATCGGCAGGTGGGCTCTCAACCACTGCGCCACCAGGGAAGCCCTTGAGTTGTTCTTATACAGACCTATGCCTTATAAGAACACTCTGGGCCCTTACAATTTGCTGCCTTGTATTCCTAATTATCAGTTTTTCCTATAAATACCCATATATCTTCACAAATAAAGGGTGGATTTCTTAAAAGCATGAATTAAGGTCAAACCAATGTGTTCTCCCTGGTGCTCAGTAAGCAGCAGGTACTGAGTTCACATTTGCTGATTGATAAGTACTTGTAAAAGAGGCAAATGGAGGGCTCTACCTAGAAAAGAAGCCCCCTCAGTGATATGCTGCCAAATCAGGATCAGAGGTGAGCAGGGAGGGCCTGCAAGAACCCAAAGCTGAGGAAAGCACTTGGGAAACTTCACTTTTCTAATTCTCTTTGCAAAGAAATTCAGAATTGGCAACATTTAAGTTGGGATCAGTTACCCTTGCTTTTAACTTCAACAACATAAGTGCTCAATTTAAAAAATCCTTTTCTGGCACTAAATGAAAATAACACTGGTGATGCTTAATGTACATACATTATATCACACCTAAAAAGATAACTTACCGGGCTTCCCTGGTGGCGCAGTGGTTGAGAGTCCGCCTGTCGATGCAGGGGACACGGGTTCGTGCCCTGGTCCGGGAAGATCCCACATGCCGCGGAGTGGCTGGGCCCGTGAGCCATGGCCGCTGAGCCTGCGCTCCGCAACGGGAGAGGCCACAACAGTAAGAGGCCCGTGTACCACAAAAAAAAAAAAAGATAACTTACCACATGTTGTGTTCAAAAACTTTGGCTGGATCAGTTAAAATCCTTGATCCCAGAGGGGCCACTGGGTGATAACTACTTCGGTATCTGTGAGGCATCTTTCTTATCCTTAGACGAGAAAAATAATTTCTCCAAATCACATTCATCCTCATCAGTACCTGGAAAGTTACAAACAGTTAATTAGTCAATATGGATTAAACGACATATTATTTATCTAAGAGCCAATAACTGGCCTAAAAGGTTTACAAGCTGAGAAAGGACATCAAAACTAAAAAATTTGAAATGAAAGATGGGCATGGTAGCTTCTTTCCTGAAGTATTTTTCAGGCCAAGAGAAGGAAAAAGAATATCTGGAGTGTCCAACATTGCCTGGCATTCTTTATAAGTCACAGCCTTGACCAACTTGGCTTTCTTTGGTATTTGCTTATATAATTTTTAGCACATGGCTAAAGCATGTAAGCCCAGAATCTGGATTTTGCATACTAAAAAGTTTTTTTAAGTGATTTTATTATTTTGTTTTGGGAATTCTATGCAAATGTATTTCTAGGGAATACTTGATGACCACCAGACCAAAAACTCAAGTATAGGAGCAGAATAAGAAAACAAATTTTAAAAATCTCATTCCCTGGGCTGGGCTGAATAATATGAATCTTGGTAAAATAACTATATTAAGATATGATCCCAACAGTTCTTAATTCTAACAACCCTGTATACATACATTTTAAAGAATAATCAGTAATGCATTTGCAAAACAGATTTCCCTGTACAAAACGCATGCTTAAATCCCAGCTCAAGAGGAGAATCATCATTTGATTAGCCAAATCTATCTCCATTTCTGGAGAATAACTTAAACATTTAAAGAGTATGTTATTTTAATTATGTACTGGCATATATGTCGGCTTAAAATCTTCATGGAAAAGTATAAAAAATAAGCTCTAAAGAGCTTATGTTTTCCAATAAGAATCCATTGTAATACCGCTTGGCATTTCACCCCCATTCAGTTGTTAATCGCAACATTCAGCCTAACGCTGTAAGCTGTCAGGTAGAAACGGATGATGAAAGGTGTGTATATATAATATACATTAGAGACTATCCCAGGTGCTATCAGGCATAAAAATGACATGTATTGTACACCCTTTACCACCTTACTGAAAGTCAATGGGTTTTAAGACTATGAATTCCAAAACAAACTGCAGAATGTCAAAAACATCTCATTGTGCTTTTAAACATAAAATTCAAGATTTTCCTTTTGGGAAAAAAAAGGCTTAGTTATACACACCAAAAAGACTGCAATGATTCCATTCAAATGTGACTAACAGTGATGAGAAATGAAACATTCAATAGCTAGTGCAGATCTCCTGTTTCTTATTTGTTTTTCCTTCTCCACTAAATGCAAGCTCTTTGGTGGAGGCAAATGAAATCAAATGCTCTGCCTACCACTACCTTTCCTCTGATGTGCCTTTGTTCTTTTCTCCTGTCACTGTTCCACATAAGACTAACAAAACTCTACTAGCACAATTATTTTTAGAGCTCTCTTTCTGCACTGAACATTATTCATAAAATCTTCCGTATGCTGAAGAGTAGAAATGGATTACACCTAGAAAAAGAGGCAATTCATGCTCAAAAGTATGAAATGATGTAAATGTTTTCCACCCAGGAAAGCCAAATCAAAATGAAATTTCAATCCTTCAAATAATCACGTGATACTTATCTATATCTATCTATATATAGAAGAGGAAGAGAAGGGAAAAAAAGATGTTTCTCTCACTATAAATGCCCAAGAACATCTACAGACAGCTGGAGACAAAAAGGCATAACCAGATTGGATATTAGGCAATTCAGGAAAATGTCAGAGAAGTGTGTGCCTTGCAGACCGCTAGCCCATAGAAAAACACGGTATAGCCAGGGCCTAAACATGTGGCAATTTGTCCAGCTTAGGCAGCTTTTTCTAATTAACCACACAAACATCTTTATTTCATTTATGTATTATCTACAACAGCCTTGCAATGCTCTTTATCTTTTATATTATATAAATATATAGTAAACTGTATAATAAACATAATATAGATACATAATACAACTACTTAACATAAATGCTTTCTCAAATAAATTGCAAACTTCTAAGGGCAGCACCAAGCTGCTTGTGAATTAATTGTTTGACTGACTACACAAAAATGGTACTTGTCTGACACAAATTTAATTGGAAGGAAGTTACTTCATATTTCCCAAGGTGGCTCCTTAGATCCCTGCAGTGTGGAAGAAGGAAGTGACCGAAGAGTTGACACTATACAGGCAGCTATCCAGTTATAGTCACTGCAACGATTAATAAATATGTGCTTTATGTTATGACTATCATGTTAGCTTAATGGTTACTAGGTCATGTTTCCATTTTGTGATGAGAAAAAAAGAGAAGGGCAGGGTCAGCTCCCAAAAGAATTCTGGTAGAGAAAATTGGTTTCTGCCACCAGAGAGTCCCACTCTCTTTAGGTACCCTCTATTAACTCTTTTTTGGCATACCCTAATTTGTTTGTTTGTTTTTTTTTGGAATGCAAAGTTTATTTAAAACATCTTTATTGGAGTATAACTGCTTTACAATGGTGTGTTAGTTTCTGCTTTATAACCAAGTGAATCAGCTATACATATACATATATCCCCATATCTCCTCCCTCTTGCGTCTCCCTCCCACCCTCCCTACCCCACCCCTCTAGGTGGTCACAAAGCATCGAGCTGATCTCCCTGTGCTATGTGGCTGCTTCCCACTAGCTATCTATTTTACATTTGGTAGTGTATATATGTCCATGCCACTCTCTCACTTCATCCCAGCTTACCCTTCACCCTCTCCATGTCAAGTCCATTCTCTACATCTGCGTCTTTATTCCTGTCCTGCCGCTAGGTTCATCAGAACCTTTTTTTTTTAGATTCCATATATACGTGTTAGCATACGGTATTTGTTTTTCTCTTTCTGACTTACTTCACTCTGTGTGACAGACTCTAGGTCCATCCACCTCACTACAAATAACTCAATTTCGTTTCTTCTTATGGTTGAGTAATATTCCATTGTATATATGTGCCACATCTTCTTTATCCATTCATCTGTCGATGGACACTTAGGTTGCTTCCATGTCCTGGCTATTGTAAACAGAGCTGCAATGAACATTGTGGTACATGACTCTTTTTGAATTATGGTTTTCTCAGGGTATATGCTCAGTAGTGGGATTGCTGGGTCATATGGTAGTTCTATTTTTAGTTTTTTAAGGAACCTCCATGCTGTTCTCCATAGTGGCCGTATCAGTTTACATTCCCACCAACAGTGCAAGAGGGTTCCCTTTCCTCCACACCCCCTCCAGCATTTATTGTTTCTAGATTTTTTGACGATGGCCATTCTGACCGGTGTGAGGTGATACCTCACTGTAGTTTTGATTTGCATTTCTCTAATGATTAGTGATGTTGAGCATTCTTTCATGTGTTTGTTGGCAATCTGTATATCTTCTTTGGAGAAATGTCTATTTAGGTCTTTGGCATGCCCTAATTTGAATACAAGTTTAATTAAGATATTATTTGCATAATGAAATTGTACGGATTAGTACTTTTATTTGAAATAACACAAAGAAGCATAGCTAAAAATATTCTATTCACCCAAAAGAAGGCAGGAAAGGAAGGAGGAGAAACCAAAGATCAGATGGAACCATTAGAAAACAAATACCAAGATGACATATTTAAATCCAACCATATCAGTAATTACATTAAGTGTAAATGGATTCCAGTTAAAAGACACAGGTTGCTAATTTGTATGAAAAAGCAATACTCAACCATATACAGGTCTCCCCCACTATCCGAAAGTAGAGGATTCCTGTGAAACCTTTTGTAAGCCAAAATGGCGTAAAGCAAAAAAGCAATTACCTTAGGACACATCTTGTTAACAAAATAAATCAAGATAAAGCACAGATGCTCAAAGCTATGGCGGCTTAATGCTGGGATGCTGAGTGTAGTTCCCAGGGAAGGAGCTTGGAGGTGCCGCTCTTGATGCTCAGGGTTTGCACCGCCTCTATAACAGCTCACTGCAAAACAAACACTGAAAGCTATTTTCGGTTTTCACCTTTTTTCGTAGAAGTGAAAATCCTCTTCAGATTTCTTTCATTTAGACCAATGTAGGTCTTTCATCAAAGTGAAGGAGGTAAAGCAAACTTTCAAAAAGCAGGGCATAACTGTATTGTCTATAAGAGAAGCACTTTAAAGATACAAATAGATTACAATTAAAAAAGAGATGGGACCTGGTAGCCCTACAAGCATTTGGTGTTAAACATAAACTCTGCGCAATGATGACTGGGATGGTAAAAGAGCAGGACAAATATTTGAGCAGGAGAGCAGTCCTTTCTTGATTCCTTCCGGTGAGCAGGGGTTGCTGCTGACATTTCTTCTTATCTGAGGTGGTGGGATCTAGGTCTTTCCAGATCTTTCCAGTTCACCTCCAGTGTTTTAATTGCTCTGGAGATACAACGGAGCAATAAACTTGGGAAGCTGCCCTTTACACCTGCTGGCATTTGAGGGTATAGGAGTGAGTTAAAGGGTTAGGAATCAGAAATTACACTTATTTAATGAAGCAACTTAGTAGCTCCACTTTTTTGTCTTTCATAATTCACATATTCAGTTGTGAAATCTGACATACATACAGACAAGTGCATAAAACACAGATGTTTAATAAACAGTCGTAAAAGAAGCAGCCCTTCAGCGTACTTGTGCTCAGCAGCCCCTGCTCCCACCTCAGACAAAAGCCCCCGCCCTGCCTGGTGCTCATTTCCTTCCTTGTGTGTCCCCAGTTTTGCCATCTACTGATGCATTCCTAAACAACACTGTTTAATTTTGCCTATTTTTGAACCTTATATAAATGGCGATCCTACTTTATATCTTCTGGGTCTTCTTGGGCTCTGTAGTACATTGAAAAAAAAGAAAACAAAAAGAGATACCATGCAAACACTGCATGAAAAAAACTAATGGAGGTATAATAATAGACAAAATAGACTTTTAAAAAGACTATTACATTTAATAATGATGAGCCAATTCATCAAGACATAAAAATCCTAAATGTACATGTACCTAATACCAGAGCTTCAAAATACACGAAGCAAAAATAGAATCTTTTAAAAGGAAAAATTAACAAATTCACGGCAATACTTGGAGATTTTAATAGCCCTCTCTCAGTAATAAACAGAACAACACTCAGAAATGAACTATCAAAAAATGAATAAGGACACAGGAGTTTTGAACATTATCAACTTGACCTGAATGACATTTATAGAAAGAGCAATATACCTAATAACAGCAGAATACACATTTTTTCAACTGATCATGAACCATTTGCCAAGGCAGACCACATATGCTGAGCTACAAGACAAGTCTTAATAAATTCCAAAGTATTCAAATCATACAGAGTATGTTTTCTGACCACAACAGCAATATTAAATGTTAATATTTTTGATGAATTGACTCATTAATAAATGCCCCTCCTTATTTCTAGTAATAGTCATTTTTTGGAAGTAAATTTTATGTATATTTTACCACAATAAAAAAAAAACCAAAAAACCTTCCTACAAAGAAAACTGGAGGCCCTGATGACTTCACTAGTGACTATCAAATGTTTAAGGAGGAAATAACACCAATCTTACACAGACTGTTTCAGAAAATAGGGGAGAGAACACTTCTCAATTTGTTTTATGAGGCCAGCATAACGTGGAAAAGTAGTACAACTCTATGAAATAAAGGTCTGAATATTGGCCACATTATTACAATGCAGTTTTCCCACAGACTCAGGGCTTCTCATTATAGTTCCTAGTTATCAGGTGTTTGTCAGGAATAAAACTTGCAGATATCCAAAAGAGGGAAGCCTGGTAAGAGTTTTCTAGGCATGTCTTGGTGTGCTTTAATTGCTAAGGCAGTTTGAGTTACAACAGTCCAGAGCAGAGAAATACGAAGGCAACAAGAATTTCCACAAATCCTTGTTAGGTGTTTGAGTTTTAATTTACTGTTGGAAGCACCTTAAAAGGTTTGTGGTCCTGATGCTTCACTTAACTTAGCTCAAACTGATTCTGCCATATCAAATTCTAGTCCATATAATCAAGTGGTATTTCTTTTACTTACTTTGCCTATAGGTTCTCACTTTCAGCTCACCATCCTACGGTGGTTCTTCCTCTCAAGTCCTATCAAGGTCAAAATGAAACAGAATGGGGCTTCCCTGGTGGCGCAGTGGTTGAGAGTCCGCCTGCCGATGCAGGGGACACAGGTTCGTGCCCCAGTCCGGGAAGATCCCACATGCCGTGGAGCGGCTGTACCTGTGAGCCATGGCCGCTGAGCCTGCGCGTCCGGAGCCTGTGCTCCACAACGGTAGAGGCCACAACAGTGAGGCCCGCGTACCGCAAAAAAAAAAAAAAAAGAAAAGAAACAGAATGAAGAAGGAGCATGGCTTTAGGGCCATGGTCCTCTGATATCTCAACACCAAGACTCAGTCATGAATAGTCAGTTGGCTAAAGCAATCACTGAGGAACAGATCCAGAAAGGAACTGAAGCTCATATGGGTATCAGAGTGAGAGAATTTCATTATCAATAGCATTTATTATGCTATAACTACATTGGTATGCCATGAAGAGCTGACAGACTTCCTGCCAGCTCTCAGATGTAGGTAAGTGTGCGCCCATTTTAGAATACAAGGAAACAAACAAATGTTTGACTTGGGTTCCACATATATATCGTATGACAAGCCAAGGAGAAGGTGGTTTTAACACTCACAAGTTTTCTGAGCTTACCACTAACACCACATTATGCTTGTAGCAAAAGCAGTAGCCTTGGTGTAGAAGGATGACTTGTAGGGAAGAGATCTCTGCCCTACCTCCAAATTTTGGCTAAATGCTTTGCTTTCCACTAAAATGTGGCCCTTTTCACAATGACTCACAGCCCTTACCATACCATACCAACAAAACTATATCATATTCTTCTGAAACAGGTAAGATGTATATAGGATATTTCATGTTTTAAGTAACTGCAAATGTTATTTTTGTAGAGTAATTGTTTTAACTACTTCTTAAATAAAAGGGATAATTTTAGTAAAAGGAAATACTGCATGCCATACATTGCAATTTGAAAAAATCTTTGAGGAAGTAAATCACCAATCCCAATTTATTTTTCATATTAATATTTTAAAAAGTTAAGTATTTACCATGTTTGAGGCCCTGTTCTAAGCACTTTACATGTATTATCTTATTTAACCTCTATTTCCCTACCAAGGGGTCCTATTTTTATACCCATATTACATAGGAAAACCTCACAGAGAATGAAGTAAAGTAACATGCTTAAAGTTACCCAACCAATAACTAATGGGGCTTCAACTTGACCCAAAGCAGTTGAACAGAAGAGCCTATGCTCTACCTTTTTTTTAAAAACATCTTTGTTATGCACATATATACAATTTGCGCCCTACCTTTGTACACCACACATACAAGAAGGATCACAGTATTGACTCCCCAGTCTTTACTGGGGTTGCTAATTTGTTGTATTTGATTTAAGGAAGCCCAGAATTTCTTCCCTCCCTTCATCTTTCTCAATTCTGTTTTTTCTCTTGGGCCTTAATCAAACAGCAAGCAATGCCACTGCGAGACACCAGTCCCCAGATGTAGGGCAGCACAGTCATTCTCTTTTTCAGTACTCAAATCTCAAGGTACAGGCAAAGTGCTCTTGCATAACCTAAATAACATAACATTTTAACACCCTGTTCTTTTCACTGGTCTTTTACTTTTACTCAGTTGAGGAGTAGAGGCAAAGAAGGACTTCTTTCCCTTACTATTTAAGCTTGAGCCTAAGATTGCTTCCTCACATCTCAATACTATTGGAAGGGCACCAAAGAACTAGAGCAAATAGTACTGTTGTTTGTGTGAATCTGTAATGATTATCCTTGGAGCACTTCGCTGGCTCTGAGCTGCCTCCCTAAGAATGATTCCCAGTTGTCTCAGCTCACTGAAATCTCAGAGAAAGAAACTGCCGTTAATCATACACTAAATGCCCGCCCTTTGCTTAAAAGTTAATTTCCCTTGGATGTTTCCTGGGTTCTGAGCATCCTTTAAATGAGTAAATTAGTGAGACATTCATGTTTTTACCTTTGTAACTGTTTAGCTTTCCTTTTCTCGCTGGGAAGCTGGTACAAAGGTTTCATTCAGAGGAACAAACAACGTCTAGATAAAGCTGCACTAACATTACCTGAGAGGCTACCATTAATGAGAGCAAATTAAAGTGCTATTGTTGTACTGTTTTGAATAGTGAAAGCCACAGGTAAGAAACACTTAAGTATCAACTACAGGTGTGAAAACTGAAGCTTCAATTAACTCTGTCAATTTCAGAGAACTCTGAGGGTGACCATCTGTGAGGCAAAGAGCTCAGGCAACTCGTACATCTTGTTTTAATCTTTCTTTGGATGATTATAATTTCAGAGAATAAATAAGGTTATTAGCAAGAACAGAACAACACAATAATTACAGTAAGTATTTGCAGAGCACTTTGATCACACTATGATGTCAGTCACTCTGCAGCTTCAAAATGGGAATCTCATGCTGTGTTTGCTCTCTAAGACCACCCTTAAAGGTGTCACCATGCACTCACACACACAAGAAGTTACTGGGACTCACACGTTATATGAAGGATTTCATGTAAACCCATCTCAAAGCTGCCTTAAACCTGAATATCTGAAGGGTATTCTAATTGCTCTGGAAGTTGTCTCCAAAAACGTGCTGGACCAGAATGAAATCTGTTTTAACTCATTCACCTGCCATTTCACATTTGTGCGCACTACAGTAACTTCCGGAAGTAGTAATCAGATTTGGTGGGCTGAGAAAAGGTATTAAGTTACATGCATGCTTTATGTGTTACCAGTCCTTACAAATTCTAGTAAAAAACTCTCATGAATGAAGTTAATGGAGTTCTACACTTAATGAGACTTCTGCTTCCTGATTCATTGCAAATGGCCTTAACCCTAGGTACTCTAGATGGCAGGAGATGCTTGCACCTGTATGCAGGATTT